TTCTGCTCTGTTGATCTACAGCGAGCAGACCTGCCCCCCCGACACTATCAGTTTTTATGGAGATGCAAAGGCGAATGGCCACTGTTTCTCTGCATTCCTAAGGGCCATAAAGGAAAACCAGTGTGCATAGGCCGCCATTTGTTTTGCAATTAGCAGGGGAAGTGGTCTGATGAAGATGGCAGATGTTTTAGCTTGGAGGCTTTTAGGTCAGAGGAAGCGCAGGGCGGCCAAAGGGCTGCTCTGATTGTTTTTGTCTGTATTAAGATAACTGTCTCAGTATGAGGCTGACATCTATAGATGTAGTTTAACCACCTTTTGTGGATTTCATTGACATTTTTTGTAGCTAAATTCAAGATGAATAGTAATATTTCTATCACATATATCATAGGAAGATACGTTTTTTGTAATTAGGTTTGATGCCCTCATGAAAAATTATTCTTCACGGAATCTCCAAGGACAGATTTGTGATAGTTGAACCTTTGTGGAAAAATTTTAGTAGGTTATGGCATCACTAAGAACATCATGTTACCTCTTATTTATTTCAAATTCACTCTGTTGTTTGGTAACAAAGTGCAGACGTTTCAAAATCGTATCAGCTGTAGTGAACAATAATATAACTTTGTCAGCAAAAGCAGACAAGATGTTCAGCATGGTGGATTACCATCTCACAACATTTGAGCCTCTGCAAGCTGAATGGAAAAGCTGCAAGGATTAAGATGGGAAAAATGTAGAAATCAAGCACACTGGTACGATTGTAAAATGGATAGCAGTGTAAAGTACTCTTTGTAGTAAAAGGGGATTAAACATATGAAGGTCCTTGTCATATTGGCCGAAAGTGTGGAAACTCCCGCTCCGTCCCATAAACCTGAACAGAACTGATAAGAGACTGTTATCAGGCAGAAGGATTCATAGTGGAGCGCATGTTCTCCAATTATTAACTGACAAAGTCTTGGCCCCCGAACATATTCTACTCGTTTACCACATAAAATGATACAGAGACATTAAGAATTGTAGTTCATCAACTAAACTTTGCTTTGAGGTTGCTGTGCCTCTTGTCTAATGTGTCGTTAAAGTTAACATTACTAAAAAGGCAAAATACTTGCTGGACAAATACACATACACACCTTCTCATTTAAAATGTCAGGGTTTCCTTTAGCTGTTAAAATATAATATAAAATACCAGCGACATTTTCACTGAAGTTCATTGGATTGAAATAGTAGGGTGATATTGATTGATATTGAGTGTTCTTGAGGGCTTCAAACCCTGAGCAGAGATTTTAATTCCTCTTTCTGAAAACGGAGGAGGAACCTGCTGATGTATGACTTTAAAGGTTATTGCGTTTTAAGCTGGTTTTTTTATCCGGGGAAGATTTGCTGAGCATGTGTGCAGTTATTGACTTTAAAATGCAAAGTCAATCTCAGGATCATTTTTTGTGCATTTCTCTTATTTTGAAAATAGCATAAAGTTCATCTCATAGACATCCATCAATTGAGCTAAGACGGGCTAACCCTACGCTCCAACATGCTTTCAAACTGCATGCAGACGCAGAAGATCTATAAGGGTGCTGTTTAGGAAACTGCAGCTGCATCCTCGGGTCGATAACACTGACCTTTCTCTGGACACTGTCGTCTTTGCATGTACAGCGCAGAAAAGAGGCTAAATGGAGAAATTTCCACAGGGAGAAAAGATGCAAGCGAATCAGAGAGCGGAGGGTGACAGGAAGCGGGATCAACAGCAGGCCAGCAGGGGACGTGGCCAAGGGCGCCCAAGGGTTGTTGCTGCCAGCACCCCAGCAGCACAGGGCCTGTTTGTCCCATCCTGAAAGGCACACAGGAACCCTCAGTGGGAAGGAAACAGAGAGGCTGTTTTTGTTTTCTTTTTTTCCTCAATAAATACCCAAGACTTTAATTTCACCAAGCGCTCAGATTGCACTGATGACAAGGCGGTGTGAGTTCGCCGAGCGACGAATGATGGCCTTCAAATAGACACACACACACACATACATACACAGACACTTGCACATGAAAAATTAAGAGTAAAGAATACATTTGGGCCAAGAAGTTTACACTGTTTGTACTGACCAGTAAAACACAAAAATGTGCCTCTAGCCTAAATCCTTTTCTGAAAAAGATTTGTTGCATTGTTGCAAATACTGACACATTATGTTTTATCCAACTACAGACTGAACTGAATATATTAGTTAATAGTAAAGTAAGATGAAGCCTTGAGCGAACAAAGCTGAAATTAAATTTGAATTTCAAAACCACATTAAAACACATGACATATCCACTTACAAACAAACACATTAGTACTGTATTTATACACACACAACACAAACTAAACACAAAGAACTGACCTCTCAGACTGAAGTGCCCACAGAACAATAACACTCCAAGGTTTGTGTATGAAAATATATTAGCTGATTGTTAATGGAGGGATGGGGAGTGTGTGTGTGTGTTTGTGTGTGTGTGTGTGTGTGTGCGTGTGTGCGTGTGTGCGTGTGTGCGTGCTGACAGTGCTGGCACTTGAAGCACTGCTGCAGAATAACAGTGTTGCTGGACGCGACCTCGAGCACATCAGCACCTCATTAGGTCATTTGTCCCAAATTCAGTCATTGCAGTCCAGGACTCCACTGTGCACTCTGGGTAGTGATTTCTAAATGGGGTGCAGTTCATTACAGGTCAGCTCCCATTGATCAAGCAAAAAAAAAAAAAATTATGTTATTATTAATCATTGACTATAAACCAGTGTTGAAATGACACATGCATTAGTCTATTGTATGTTTTGTTCTTTGTTTGTCTCTCCGGTCTCTCCTCCTTCCCACCCTTCTTCAGTGCTGTGTATCTTGTGACTGTGAGGACTCGATTTGTCTGGCAGGTCTATTTTTACCTGACAGTGTTTAAGTTCCTCTGAGTCTTTCTCATGCCTTCAGTCTTTGTTTTGGTTTGTCTGAATGCCTTTTCCTTCATCATCTTCACGCATCAGATCGCTTTCATCGGCCACACCCACGGAGAGATCGCTCTCCTGTCTGTGTATGTTTGTGTGTTGGTTAGCCGGTGTATCTGGTTGTGCACGCCTTCATTTGCATGCATTTGTGTATGCATCCATACTGTACATTAACTTTTTTGCATTTTTGTGGCACATGCATGTGTGCATCTGTGTTTTTGTGTGTGTCTGTGTGTTTGCGTGTGGTCTCTGCAGTGTAGATTCTTTACGTAACAGCCCATGCACCTCTAAAGGAGTGACTGTCCGCTTCATAGACTCTGAATGACACACACACACAGACGCACACCCGTTAATCAGGATTAAGATCACATAATGCCGTTCACCTAAACAAAGGAAAATACCTGCAATTTATTTTCTTATACGCTCCTCCACCTGTCCAGTCTTGTTGCTTAAAAAGCTGTTCTCTGTATTTAACAAAGGTACTATTTCCAAACCTGTCACACAAGTAGATATGATCGTATTTGACTCAGAGTTGCAATGTGGTAGTCCTGGCAATGTAAGCAAACAGCAATAACATAATAATCCTCAGATTTAGATTTTTCTATTGTTGTATTGTATTGTAACTCATACATGGAAAATACCTGACATTACCTTTTTCCAATGAGGTCTGGCAGACTTCAAACCAGTGAGAATAAACAGATAGAAACATATATACAGAAATGTTGATGTGTGAAATAACCAGTGTACATTGGACTGGCATCAAGTGCCAATCACCAAGGCCACAACCCCTTTTTGGAATCATGCTTTCATACAACGAGAAAACCAGGAAAATTTTAACCAAACAGGAGTTGCAGAATTAGGGATGAGAATAAATATAGACTAGATTTTATATCAGTTGCAAAACGTATGAAAATGTCCAGGATTATTACTGCAGTTTCATTATTGTCATCCGAGAGCAATAACAATCTGCAGATTATAATTTTGTACCCATTAACAGGTACTGATCACAGATAAATACATCTCCAAACATGCAGCTTAGATTTGGATGTAAGTGAAATCTATCCTCAGCTGTCAGTCCCTAATCCTTTGTCAGGGCAGTGAACTCCATTGGGAAACAGGAATGTGAGGTATGAAGGAGTGGAGGATGATGGAAGGATGGAGGAGGGAGTCCTGGTACCAACTTCTCTAAAACTTTTCTTTTATCCTTAACAGTTTTCTTTCTCTTTTAATTACTCTGCTGTCTCTCTCCCCCCTATATATTTATATATTTGGCTTCACTTGTTTCTATTAACTCTGGATTGGGTGGAACTGAGCCATGTCACAACCACCTTATCACCATCTGCAGCACATTAATCTCACAAAGTAATTACACAGTTACAGTTAAACAAATACTCCGTCCATGTCGATGTCAAACAAATACTGCGCCAAACAGTAGCTGCTGCTGCTGTGGATATTTCCACAGTGTCCTCTGAAATTCCTACAATTGATCAATTGACTTTAACATGTTTTTACACTAAGTGATGTTCAAAGGATTTTAACATGAAATGCTTCAGTGGAGACATAGCCCCAAATGCTGGAAGTATTGTTACAGCAGATTATACAGTGATAGTTGGTGTTATTCCGTCAGAAAACAGTAAGGGCTTTGTTCTCTTTAAGTTGCCATTTTGCACCAATGACATTAAAAAATTCATAAAGGGAGAATGTCAACATAGAAGAGGAAGAGACCAACTCTGATACGCATAGTAAGAAAATAGAATAGACCAAAATGCACTACATCTTGTAGACAGGTGGGATTTGTGAGTTTGAACAGTCGCAGTCCTGGACACACCTCACTGTTCATCACTGTTCAACCACCTGGCTCAGTTGGTCTGTTTACATGGCAGTGTGCTTATGTTGACTGAGAGCAGGTTCATACTCTGGTGTAAATCAAAAGATTTAGTAAGAAATTTGGCTGAGTGGAGGAGATGAAGCAGGTTGTCTAGTTGAACACCCAGTCCTCACTACACATGTTGAAGCCCTCTTTTAACCTTCTCTCTCCTTTGTTTCTTTTCAGACTCAACTGGAGTTGGACAAATATCTCCCCCAGGTCAACAGTCCTCTTTTGAGTCTCTCGGCAGACACTGGTGACAAGAAATACAGACGAGAGAGCGCCTCGGTGGTCGACGAGTACTTCTCGGAGGACAAACCTACAGCCCCTTACAGCCTCAACATCAACGTCATCCTTCCCAGCACCACTCACCTCCGCACAGGCCTCTACCGGCCCAACACCAAGACCCTCACGCCGCAGCAGATCAAGACAGAACCCGGGCTGGAGGTCCCCTGCTCCATCCCCACCACCCAGGCCCTTCCAGACTTCACCTCCGTCTTCAGTGTGCCGCCTGTCGTCAACAACGTTTTTATCAAACCAGACATGAGCTCTGGAGGAGTAGTGAGTGTGTCCACAGCACAGCAGCAGCAACAGCAGCAGCCACATTTGGACACAGAGCTTCACATCGGCCCTCCAGCCCCCCAGCAGCAGGTCTACCACATGCCCATCACCAGCTGTGCTGACCTCACCATGACTCTGTCCCACACCAGTCCGTCTGCACACGGCTCCACCGCTACTAGGACCATGCTGAACCTCGGCGGCATTGCATTGCCAACATCCAATGGCAACTACATGATGGCAGAGCACCACCTGCAGCAGCACCATGGTTACTACCAAGCCTCTCCAGCCAACTCATCGCAGCACACAGCGCCCCACAGTCTGCCGCCCTCACCCCCAAACTCTCAGCCAGGGAGCCCAGACGGTCAGGCAGAGCTGCTCAGCTTAGCGCCCCAACCTCCGCCTCCATACCAGCAGCGTCTGGATAGTATAAAGGTGACAGGGTTGTCTCCACATGCCTTGCTGATGACACATGGCCAGGGTGTCCTGACAGGTCCTAAATACAACAGGCGGAACAACCCAGAGCTGGAGAAGAGGAGGATCCACTTCTGTGACTACCCAGGTCAGTGGTTTATTTGCAATTTAAGAATACATTTTGAGGGACAAGTGTGAGACTGAGAGAATAATTCTGGTGCTCTTTGGTTTCAACAGGTGTTCTACTGTATAGTGACAATGACCAAACTAATTATTCTACTAAATTTAGTTTCAAGAGTTATCTGACTTTATTGGCAGCATCTTTTCCATTATAAGTTGTATCATTTAAGACAGTACAGTATTTGCCATTGTGCTGCTCCAGGCAAAAGATGCAAGTTTAAAGTGAAGATGCTAAACCTTGCAGGCATCATTACCTTGGTGTTTACTCACCACTGCGCAACCAATTCATGTTTTATCTTGTTTGTGAGCAACCTTTCAATGTGCAGCAGATGAGATGTCCCACACCTTGCAGGGCAACCACTGATCAAATGTTGGCAAAATAGAAAACAGTATGCCATCCAATATAAGCTCATAGATACAAAGAGTAAATATTGAAGCTACTTAAATTTTTTGACACAAGACACTTCACACAATCAGAAGTTTGACCTCTTTTAAATGTTTTTTTCTGGGTTTTGATAACAGTTTGCTACACAAACAACTAATGAAAGCAGGTTTCAGCAAGTTGGCTCAAATTGCTTTCAACCAATGTCTCTGCTGTGTAAATATGCTCAACTCAGAAAGTAAAAATCTGTCAGTAATACACCGCTTCTCTTTCACTGTACATGCTTAAACATCAACAGGGTGTTAGAGCAATGAAACAAAGCAGAGATTGTTAGATTGCCACAATATTCCTTAAACGATGATTGTGGTAGTTTTATGGGAAATAAATTACATAATCCCATCCCAGTTGTATCACTTTTTCAGAGAATAAGGATTTCAGAATTCCGAAATCCAAAATGGATCAACATCAACTATGTTTATGAAAGCGAATCATTTAGAGTGTTTGAGACTGACAGTTTGAAATGGTCCTTTGCCAAATATCCTAGAATGAGTTATCCTAGTTCCTGTGTCATTCTTACTGTGTCACGAGTGGAAAAACAACTCAAGAAACAGCACATTTTGTCCTTACATAACAGCTTTATTGCCAAGGTAAGCTTTGTGTCAGGTGAGCACATTTCTGCTGTCAGCCTGGCTCATCTCTCTCTGTGATTTCTTTTCAGGCTGCACCAAAGTTTACACAAAGAGCTCTCATCTGAAGGCACACCAAAGGACGCACACAGGTAAGAAAACCGTTTTATGTGACTAGAAATAGATGCTGACGTGACAGGAAGTAAATATTAGTGTTTCTTTGCCATGATATATAATTCAGTGTCCATCAGCTGTCTGGGTAAATCTGAATGGTCAGTTCAAACTGCATTTTTTTTTTTAAGTTCAGGTTTCAGCCCTTCTTCATGTATTCACAGTTCAGTCAGAGACATTGACCAAGTGACCATCAGCAAAATTGTCCACACCCAAACCAACTAAACCAGCGACCATCCAATCACAATCTCTCCACTGTAACCATGGCGCACAGTTGCTGCAGTTTATTTATTTGTATATTGCATATTTTGTCACATTGCCAGTTTCGATACACCCTGCAACTATAATAGACACGAAGAACACAAAGAAAGGAAAAACAACATTGAAGCAACATTAGTTTGCTGAAGAGTTTTTGTTTTTTCTCCACCATGTTTATACGTGCTCATACCTGTCCTCTAAGCTTCCCCAGAGAGAGAGAACAAAGAAGGGAGGGAGGAGGGGAGGATGAGGGAAACAGGAAAACGAGGGAAGACGCACAGTTAAAATGAATGCCAAACCAGTTACTCCTGCTTTTCAGTCCCCATTCAGAGGATGGAGGAGGAGGAAGGTGGGGGGAGGGCAGAATGGGGGAAGGCTGGTTTCAGTGTGTTTCCCTTCTGTAAGGTGAAACCTGCGGATTCCCAGCAACCTCAGACCTGGATTTTGGAGATTTACTCATGCGATAAAAGCTGCAGAGCTCTTTCAGTGTGAAAACAGTGACAGAGAGAAAGAGCGAACTTGTGAATAAATGTGCAAATAGAAACAGATCTCTCTATGGTCATAAATAGATAAGATGGAACTTTATGGATCCCAGTGGGGAAGTTGGGTTGTTGCAGCAGCAGGATGCAGCAGCGCAAAAAGACAAATAGACTATAAAATATGCAATGAGAAGAGTAAACAACACAATACAATAAAGCAGTTAGAGAGTAGAGAGCTTATACAAATCAAATGTAAACTATATCAGAGGGAAATGTCAGGGTGAGGAAGAAGTATGGGTTAATGTATGGATCAGGGAGGAGGTTTTGTTATTGACATGATATCAAATTGATTAATCAAACTGTCAAGCTCCTCTCTTTCCTATAGGCATAGTAGGCATGGTTCTAAAATGTTGTAGTTCTTTTTACTGTGATCAATGTGATGTGGCCATTGAATGTGTCTTACTGACTGAACAACCAACACACATCATTGAAATGAGCGTGGAGATCCAAGGAGATTGGTTCCCAATGAAAAAAAAGAAGAAGCAGTTTTTCTGCAACCATTTGTCACAGGTTGAATGAATACAGGTTGTGACCAGTTCAACAAGTTTAAGAGATTATTCCTTCTGAGAATGCTTTATTTTAAGCATTCTGTAATAAGGTAAAAGTATTTTATATAAATTAAAGGAAAGTCTAAAAAATACCTTCACACAACCGTTCCCAGGATGGGAACCACTGCCATAGGGCACACTTAAAATCACCCCAGTGTTGCTAACTTGGCAAATACGTCTAGAATTGGCAGTCTTTAAAACCACAATAAACAGCCAAGTAACTTCCTCTTGAAGAAAGCCACAGACTCTGTGAATCAGTGAATCAGCGGCACCTTCTGCTCACTTTGTTCAGATAATCGTACCATGTTTAGGTGAACTGAAACGGACTGCAGCATGTCCGGGGCTTGTATTAAAACTAACGGCCCGGTTTACTCATTCTGGTCACTCAGTGTGAATCTCGAAAACGGGCTTCGTTTTGCAATCTGGCAAAACCAGGCTTGCCTAGTCTTGCTTTGCATTCAGTTGATTATGACTCATGAGTTAGAAATGTGGAACTGACTACAGGAAATGTTCCAGGCAAATCAAGCAGAATTACCAAAACACTTACCGGAGTGTGGACAAAGCTATTCAGTCATATACTGCCTCTTCTTTCATTATTATCAGTATTGTATTAATCAGTTCTGTACAAATATGGTGATCTGGATGGATATTCATCTGCCATCACTGTCCAAACTGGTTCATGTCCTTTCTCTCCAACAGACAGCTCAGTGGTCATAATCATCTTCACTGTGGAGTGCCTCAAGGCCCTTTCCTAGATCCCCTTTTTATTTTGTATATATGCGCTTCCTTCAGGACAAATCATCCAAAACCCTAACTTTTTTTCCCTTTCTGCAGAAAACACACAGCTCAATGCACATATGAACTTCTGACTTTTTGTCTAGTTTGACTAATTTAAGATGTCTAATACCTTATAATATATATATATTATAATAGACTTGCTCTGTTCACTGAAAGAATATTATATTTAATTTTATACCTCACATTCAACCTAGTATTTAAACCTAAACTTAGCATTTGAAAACTGCATTATTAAAGTAGTCCAGTCCTCCCATCAGCCTAAAATAGTTTCAATATGCATTTTTTTTTTTTTCATTCTCTGACTTGCAGAAAGCTTTTCATGCTTTATCTTTTCCAGAATTGATTAATGTGGCTCTCTGTTTGCCTTCTTGAGTGGTGAAGCTTGTTCACACCTTCAACTCATACAGAATGCTGCAGCCAGTCTCATATCCACAGCAAATATAAGTGATAACATAAGCCACATTATGGCTTTGTTACATTAGCTTCCAGTTGATTTTATTTTTTATGATTTCATAAAATGTTTCTTATTGCCTGGATCCAAACATGATTGTTATTTTTATTATTATTCCTCACATTAATTCTCAATACAGTTTTTTAACACATACAGAGCATCAGAAACTCTTGAGTGTTTGCATTCGACAGATAGTGAATGACAGACTTACTGATTAAAACAAATACAGTCTTTGTGTAACCATTCAGCTGTTTCTGGGTTATGGCCCAAAGCCCAACCTTGTACTGAAATTTCTTGTTTTGTCACATCAACTATCCAAAACCCAAAGATATTCAGTTTAGAAACTTAAACATAAAACCCTCACATTTGAGTTTTTGGCATTTTTGCTTGAAACATTCTTTTGCTCATTAAATTCGACCAATCATTTCCACTCATCGTGTCCCTGTGTGTCTGTTGATAAATACTAATCATGGCTCAAAGTTGAAAGTAGTCTTTAATATCCCAGATGGGAAATTTGTTGAAACAAAAACATACCTATTAATATTACATAACCCACTGAACCTTTAAGTACTTGTAATGTAGCATTTAGAGACTTACTAAGGTATTTTGCTTCGATGTTATCTGTAAGAAGAGTAGCCATTTCCAAGTGCCTGTAATCAAGGCATAAACCACCTGAGAGCTGTTGATGTGCATGTTGTTGGAGTGAAACACTATCTCTAGCTCTGCTATCACAACAATCTGTCCCTCCCACTGGTACGTAGGAGGGGGGCAACCTTGACCATGGCCTCAGCAGCCATTTGAACTCTGCACGTTGACTTTTGTAATTGTGTTAGTGCGCATATGTGTGTGTACATGTGTGTGTAAAGAGTAGAGTGCTATCAGCCTGATTAGGGAACCCTCCAGCCCTCTTCACAAACACTAACTGATAAAGCTAAGAGGTCCACAAAGAGTTTATGGGCGTCCTGGAGAGCCTGAAAGTGTTTGCTCTTTGACTCACTAAAACCAGGCAGAGATGGTTTTAAAACGTTATTAACAAACTCCTGATATATTATACGAGTCTGTGTATAGTCATTTCGGGCCATGAATTGTGTGACGTAGAATAAATAAGATGGTTTGAAGATCTAGTTTCTCCTCAGCTATTTTATCTTTCTTATGAATACATATGATTAAGTGATAAAATAAGACGTTACAGCTTTGTTACATTAGCTTCCAGTTGATTTTAAATGTTTCTTATTGCCTGGCTCCACACATAATTATTATTTTTATTATTCCTCAGATTTTTAACGCACAGAGAGCTTCAGAAACTCTTCAGTGTTTGCATTCGACAGACAGTGAATGGCAGACTTACTGATAACAGCAAGTACATAAAAAGCTTGAATAAATAGAATTTTTTTCATTTTCATTCATTCAAACAAATCTTAATGGTACAAAAATCAGAGGACTACGTTTTCATATAGCTGGTTCAGGTTGTCAGAGAGACTTGAAGCCTCCTATAGAGTAAATATAGTAACAAAAGCTTTTTGTCCCTGAGTGATTAATGCACTCTAGCTATTACTCTGCCTGTACATTTCTGAGTGTGTGTGTTTTGTTATGTTTGTGTGTGAGACTGTTTGTTTGTCCATTATGGTTTATGACGTATTCAGACATGCACTCATTAGTGTGTGTGTGTGTGTGTGTGTGTGTGTGTGTGTGTGTGTGTGTGTGTGTGTGTGTGTGTGTGTGTGTGTGTGTGTGTGTGTGTGTGTGTGTTTGTTTTGGACAGCGGGATAATACTTTTGTCATTTCTAATCAGCCACCTGATCAAACAGTTGCTGTCTGTCGTGAACAAATGCCTATAAAGGCCTTTTTGAGCGCTGATGTCCTTTTTAGTTTCAAAGGAGTTGTGTTCAGCGAGAGCAGCCTGGTGAACTGACATGGTAAGAGATGAGAAAATACACAATAAAGTCGTCCATTTTTGTCTTAGTTAACATGCTTCCAAATGCCAATTACCCTAAAAACTGGAAGAAGGGAGAAACTGCGCATCGTAAAAAATCACAGCAGGTTGAATGACTGCTGTCTATTTTGAAAGAAGTTAAGTTTTATGTGGCCAGAAACTACGGCTTCATGTGTGAAACTGGAAAAAAAAAGTCTTAGCACTGAACAGACGAGTGATTTTTCAGTCAGTTTTGTTATCACTTCACAGGTAATAAGTTGACCAACAGGTAAATCTCACCAAACCTCATTGCTCCCCTATAGACTAAAGGAAAATGAAAGCATGGATGGATGGATGGATGGATGGTAGGTTTTCAGCAGACCTTTCGGCAGCTTGTTTAGGAATATATGCCAGTCAGGAGTGTTTGTTCTGTGCGTGGATGTGTCGTATTTCAGCGGCCTGTTTGCTAGCTCTTGGGGATAATAGTCTTAGAGAGGCGGCTGTGCTTTTGACCCCGGCAGCCCAGCTATAGAGCAAAACCAAACACACCTGCAGCTCGAGAGCCTCAACCTTTTATACGGAGACATTTATACTCCGCCTCTACACACACATCAAGAGCGGTTAACTCTAGAAACAGGATATTGTCCTGATAGGAGGCAGAAGTGCTTCTGAGCCTCTGATGTGGGGTTTAGGTGCTTGTTGGATTAAAGAAAGGCTTTTCAGGTGTGAGGGTAAAAGGAGATTCGTAGTATTCAAGAAATATGTTTAAAAACTGTTATCTATATGTTCTTACTAGGCTGTTTTTCAGTGGAAAAAAAAGTGGATACTTTTTAGATAAAAACTCAACTGACGAGGCTTTTATGTTTTATGGCTTTCCTCCTGTCACCTGAACCCCCCGTGCTCTTTGGACCCCCTCCGTTCACTAATAGCCGTCACTAAGTGATTGATGGTCAATAGCAGGAGCTATCTAATCAGTATAACGAGGCCCACGCTGGTAATGAGCACTTGATGACTCAAACGGCCAAAAACACTCCCTCAACACTGGCTGATAGAAGAGTTTTCTGGAGGGTTTTCAGCTAAATGGCTTAGAAAGTACATTTTGTGGCGTTAAATATCCACGTGATAACATAACAAAAAGACTCTATCTATAACGTGCTTCTATAAAAAGGTGGAGGACATTGAGTTAATGTTACAAAACAAATTGTCGTCTCCATCCTTTCGATAAGCACAAACTTCTTAATACCTTGCACTTTTATTTTTGGCTCCGGAAAGCACCAAACCACAGTCTGAGGAATCTGACTTCAGCAGAATTTTATCGTTAAGTTATCTTCTGTTTGTGCTCATGCCTCGCATTGATTCTCAGACATTAATTTCCACCACGGCTATGAAAGATTACTTTTTTTCCCCCCAGAGCGTGCATACCAGCCTATTCAATGGAGCCTTTTCTCTTTGTTGATGATTAGCTCACTGTTTGGCAATAGCACGTTGTGGCAGAGCACAGAAATGTCAATGTTTGGGTGGGGAAGGATAAGTGTCATGTTAGATTTACTTGGCTCGTTCTTCAGTGCTTCGTTTTACAGGTACAAGAAGAAAGTACAAAAGTTAGAGACTTTTTTTTTTTTTTTTTTACTAAAGAATTTTCTTTAAAAAATTACTGGTGACATAAAAGCACACCCCAGTGGGCAAAAGTGTTCATTTTTAAAGCTCCTCAAATACAACTTTTTTATATTAAAGGTGCCCTGTGGAGGTTTGATCTAAAAGTGTTAATAATAAACATTATAAACGTATTTCCTTCCTCAATAAACCTTTTTTAAGCCGATGATTTCAAGTATTTAAATTTCTGGCATTGTTTACATCCACGTCTACAATCTTGCAGCGCAACATACAAACAAATCAGGGACTCACCCGTCAAACATTGCTCCACAGTCCTACTAGTGGTCAAAATTTAGCTGCCAAGACTTGTAACGACAATTGCTGTCGTCTTCGTCCTACCAGCGGGGGCTGCTTGATTCAGATGATGAAGATGGAGATGGTACCTAGGCCAATAAGTATGACTCAGCTCAGCATTTTCTCATATATAGGCAGTTTTTCAGTAGGCCTATTTACAGAAGAAACCCTCAGTCATATTGGAAGTTACCCCAGTGAGTAAGAAATTCAAATAATACATTAGTTAGTCAAGGCTAGGCAAATGTATTTGTGTAGCACCTTGCAACAACAACGAAAAAAAACAAAACTGTTTCTGGTATTAAATACTCAAGAAAGGCCTATGCGTGCTCCCTCACCGCGCAAACAACACACACACACACACACACACACACACACACACAGTGGTTACAGCTGTCACCTCCTCACAAACTGAAATCAGAGTTTAATAAAAAGCAACATCCTGTGGCTGCAACGGTGCATTTTTAAAAATCCCATAGTGGTTTGTGAATGAAGCAACAACTTCCTCTGTAGATTCAAGTAAAGACATGAAAATCACTTGACATTGCACCATATTGTCTCTCTTTCTTGCTCTCTGTCTGACTCTTTTTCTCTCTTGTGGAATATCACTCCATAAATATTGTATTAGCAGAGAAATTTAGTCATAGCGTCTTGTAACATGCTCGTGTGTTATCTCAGTAAGTTCGCTGGAACTGAAACTACTTTTTCTATATTCATAAGAAATGAAACTCATTCATTTTTCTTGCATTTTCCCTTTACATTACCCAGGGTTGGGAACAGGAGGTGTAAACCACCAGTGTGAGTGTGAGTGTGCGTGTGCATGTGCATGAGCCTATTGTCTCACATCTTATCTCGCCGTTCAGCTTCACACTCCTAACTGCCATTTAAAAATGCTTAAATACTGAATGCACCCCCATTTGGAAATACAGCTGCACGCAGGCAAACACTCACTCTAACTGGAGTTTTATTGTGAAGGGAAATTTTTTCACAACCTGGGTTTCATTTTTAAAGATAATAAGAGCTGGGCATGTGCTGACATCTGTCCAACAGGGAAGGAACAGAGGGGTTGGAAACAAACCTTAAATGATAGAAATGATGGACAAAACTGATTTAGAATATCTGAGCTGGACGCTATCTGAATAAATCAGGACATTGCTGGAAATAAACATTACAAAACATTTATGTACAAAAAAATACAAAAATGTATGTTAAAATTTTTGAGAAAATGCTGTTTACATTGCTAACGCCGCCATCCTGTCCTTCTCTCTCTTGCAGGTGAGAAGCCGTACCGCTGTACATGGGAGAACTGCGACTGGCGTTTCGCCCGATCGGATGAGCTCACCAGACACTACCGGAAACACACCGGAGCCAAACCCTTCAAGTGTGTCGCCTGCAGCCGCTGCTTCTCGCGCTCCGACCACCTGGCCCTGCACATGAAGCGCCACCAGAACTAACACTGACATACCCGTATACACAAAAGACACACACCATTACACACAAATAGAGCAGTATCTTTACATGACAGCCACCTTAACCAGAAACAGCGTTATAGGAACCATGAACTGATACAGAACCAAAATCATCCCTGTGGTCCATGCTAACACAAGTTGAGTGATAGTAGGCATCTTAAAAATACCACCACAGACTCCTCAGCAGTGAAAGATGGCATCTTTGGCATCTACGGCTTGGTGAGAGTTCCTGTTCAGTGGGAGGGTCAGAGGGAGCTTTGTGATCTCCTGGTGAAACTCATCCCTGGCAGGTGACAAAAGGAGGACTCTGGGTCTATCAGAGGGGTCACCTGGTGGTTTACACCTCCTGTTCCCAACACTGGGTCATGTAAAGGGAAAATGCAAGAAAAATGAATGAGTTTCATTTCTTATGAATATAGGAAAAGTAGTTCCAGTTCCAGCGAACTTACTGAGATAATACTGATTATCTGCTATCAGTCAGCAGAGTTTGCTGGTGGCTTAACACCAGAGCTAATGATCTACCAGGGACGCAGGGATGATTTTGGCATCTGTCTTCATCACTAAACAGATAGTATGTTGACATAAAAACATTCACCGGTACGACTCTTATAAAACATATGATACATACGCATTCACACACACACTTGACATGCATTACATACTGCAAATGTTGCAGTCACCAGAACTGTGGTGTCAGGCTCCTACGAACCATTTGGGACTTCTGATTACATCCTGGAAACACTTTCTCCTACTGCCAACTTCATCATCGTCACATTCTTTTATTATTTTGAGGTATGAACTTTCAAGGGAGAGATGCAAGCATACTTCCCTCCGTCCTGCCTTTGTAAATACTTGTTTATATATATATATATGTGTGTGTGTGTGTGTGTGTGTGTCTGAGAATACAACGAATGTATTGAGATTTATACTTGACTTTTTTTTTTTTTTTTTTTTTACATCAGATGTTAATATGGGTAATATTCCATGTTGAAACTTCCTTGAGATATAATCTCTCTTTAAGGGCCTAAAAAAAAGGGTTTTGTTTTTCTTTGTTTTTTTCAAGAAAAAGAGTAAACAAAGAATCAAGAGACACAATCAGAGAACTCTCCATGGAAAAGTTAATAATCGCCTAGTTATGCTTGTTTCAGCACAGGTACTACCTGTGGGGCTCAGAGAGCGGAGTGATTTGCCAATGTTTGTATCCATGACATTACCCGTTGCCATGGCGACCAAGCTTCTCTGACGACAGTTTGCGGTTTGCTTGCAGTTTCTATTCAGCGCTGTTCTTTTCCTCCCTTCTTTTTTCATCCTGTATTTGTTCAATACCTTAACTCGAGAAAGACAGAGATGGGTGGATAGACTTGAGATTGTTTTAATATACAGTGCAATTATTGCAGAGTCAACCCTGCTAACTGGACGAACGGCAGTTTAACATTCGCTGGATTGCGTGGCATTAACTGTCAGTTATGGATCCTGCATTCTGTTGTTATTTCGAATACGTCTCGTCTGTCAACTCAAGGTTCATCTTTAATCAGCCGTGTAGCTTGTATGTTTGCCAACGAAAGCAATTACAAGAGGAAAAAAATATGTTGCACAGTTCGATTCCTTGAACTGGAACAGTTTCCAAGGAACGAAAAAAAGAATCAGCAAACCAGTGCAAATATGACACTTTTCTAATTTGTCAGAAAACTGACTGAAATTGAAATGTCTTCCAGTGAAGCTAGCGATCAATACAATTTAGTCTACAAAAATCCTGAACCTCAGAAGCCGTGAATGTTTGCGAACCAGTTGATGAATCAGTGCTTATTTTTAGACTTCACTCCAGACTTTAATGTCACATCTAGATGTTTTTTTAGTAGCTACGATCAAAGAGCATCAACTGTTTTATTCATCTTCAAACCTTTGACAAGGATGTTTTAACTGTTCTCAATTTAACACGATTATAAGCACACGAGGCCATCAGCGAGACTAGAAACATTACCGCTTTTGTCCACAGGGGCCGCCAGAATCAACAAAACACTTCCTTGTAGCTGCTTCCTCATTATGAAGCAACTCGTGCAACTAGCCTGTAACCCGCTCACAGGTGCTTTTATCAATAACACTTGTGTCTTTGCCTTTTTATAACCACAAACTTTACAAGCGGATACTTAGACTTGGCATTATGTAACTGTAACAGGTTGGTGAGAATATTTAGGCGACACAGTTTTTAAGTCAGATTGGTTGTTTTTTATTGCAACTAATCCTGTTTTTATTGCGCACCACCCACCTGGTACTCCATGGAAGTTAAAACAAGAGTAAAGCATTGACTCAGGTCTGTCCGGCATGTGTTCATTTAGGGGAAACGCATCCTGTTATTTCAACACTACGAATGTTTTTATATAGTTTCTTTCTTCCCAAGGAAACAAGTTCTCCTGTCTCTCTCAAGGAGGGAGCACTGACCACCCACTGTGTACATAACTGTAGTTTTAGCCTAAACAGAAGACTCTGTAAATATTTGTTTGGTTTCATTTCCTATGATAATATAATTTTTTTTCTTTTTTTAACTAATGGGATTTAGATCAGTTGTATGTGAGCGCTTGTTTAATTTTGTTTTGATACGTAATGTGTGTCAGTGAATTTATCAGTTTGTGTACAAATTGATAAGAACAGTGGTGTATTTTTTGTTTTCTGTTTGTGCAAGATGCTGCAATGAAATAAAAAAAGGATTCGTAAAACAATCGTAGACTGGTTTCTTGTTTCTTTTTGTATTTTAAGCTAATTTTATTACCTCATATTTGTCTGTATATAAGTATTTAGTCAAAGTGCGGAAGTAAATAGTGAGAAAATACTAACTGTATAACTATTTGCTATAAATGGTCAATTCTTTGTCCGAAGTGTCTCATATTCTTTTTGGCTTTATTGCTGAAACACGTATTACCTAAGAAAAGAAATGACCTGCAGTCTTTCGAAAAGAAAGCGTACGGTTTGCATGAAAGAACCCCCGGACCTTGAGGACGGTCCACCTAGCCAGATTGACCGGACGCGTTTTTTTTCCTACACTCAAGTCTACTTCCAGTGATCAGCCTCTGTTTTTGTCCCCTCACAAACCCATACGGACGTCCCAAAGCTTTGACCAATGATCAATGATGGTATGATTCAGATCAAAGAAAACATGAAGAAACATTCTCAGTTGTATTTCACAATGTTTGGTGTCAGAGTTCAGTTGTCAACTGTGTGATATGAATCATAAAGCTTGGCCTTTAAAACCATTTCCTCCAGTCTTCCAAAGATTTGATTTTCTTATGGAGATGATTTTTGCACGACGCCGATAACATCCTATCTGTGAGGAGATAATAGATTAAGTCAAATATTAAAAAGAGGTTATTGACAACTTCTGGCAAAAACCAACAGGAAAGAAAGTTAATCATTCCCCTGCTTCGACTCCACTGTGGTCGGTGACACCTGATTGTCTTTATGTTATGTGTCAGGTGAAAGGTAACGCCACCAGCAGGCAGCACCGCTGGGGCTGCGTGACACAGAAGAACCTGCTGGTTTGACGGGACAAAAAGTTAAGCAAGAAGAATAAGTGGGAGTTTAAAGGTATAAAGGCACAGAGGGTGGGGCCCGCCGCTGTATTTTTCTGGCAGTGAAAGTAATTATTATGTTTGTGCCAAGATGCTTTCAGCAGGGAGCCTCAGAGCTTTGCCTCATCATCTGACAACGCCCTTAATGTTAACACTTAATGTACTGTGCATGTGCATGCAAGTTGGATGTGTTCCAGCTGGAGTCTATATACTCAAAGATAATAAAAATACTAATGCAGAAGACATTCATCATATTTTGTTTTGATGTTACGGTGCAGTGTTTGGGTATTTGTTAGTTTAAGTATAATTATAATGAAGGAACAAGCTGATAAAGATCAGTGGTGTATGGTAGTTACAACAGGCCCCAGTGCATGCCATCATGACATACCCTAGCTACTGTATATCTTACTTTTTTATTCACATGATCAAATACAGACTTGGCATTGGACAACATTAGCATACATATTACCCAGCAGTATTCAGTGCATATTAAAAATATGACAGAATATACAAAAGAAAATAAAAAATTATACATTTAATTGAATACTTTTTTGTGGTTTATTTATAGTTTTTGTAGCCTTTTTATGAGCCTAGATAGCAAATGGAATCATTTTTAATTTAACATGAGTTAACACAGGTGTATTTCTGAGGTGGAAATCTAACTAACTAGGGCCAGTTCTCCAGCCAACACATTGTTGGAGGGCCTGCTCTCTCCACAGGTCACAGCTCAGCCGTACTGCCTGTCTTTGTTTAGGCCCTTGATACATATTATATATTTATTTATCTTTCATGTTTAGCCTATAAACACATACAATAATAAAATGCCATAATATTAGCATTTTATAGTAGGCCAGTCCACTTTGGTTCAGATCGAAATATCTCAACAACTGTTAAAATGTTAGTACATTCATGGTCTCCAGAGGACGAATCCCGCTGACTTTGGTCATCCTCTGAATTTTGATCTCGCGCAACCAGCAAACTTTTCACTCATCCAGTGAAATATGGCAATATCTTCAAGATGGAGTGCAGACATTCATGGTTTCAACTATGAATATTTTGTTGATTGTCTGAGTTTTTCATCCTGCGCCTCTGTGAGGTTAACACTTGTGGTTTTGAGTGAAATATCTCAACAACTATTGGATTTCCATGAAAACCTGTACAGACACTCTCTACATTCAACTTTTGCAGCCTGCCCTGATGTTCCCAGATGTAAACAAACACTGGCAACAGCAGTGCTACAGACTGTTCCCTGCATGTATATGACTCACCTGTTTATCTACAATCAGTTGCTTTTCCATTTACCGCTCAGGTGCATTTTCTTTGGCCCCAGTCTCCTGAACATTCACCTGGGGGCCTGGTAAAGCTGGCTGCTCGGCTTGCATCTCATTCCACAGTCGAAGCAGTAAAACTCCTGTTAAAACTTGTCTGACTGATTCTGCAGAACTGCCTGCAATCGTCTCTGAGGATTTAAATATCCCTCTGGGGAAGAGGCAATGAAGAATATAGAGACTTGTGTGTGGATTGTGTAATTTAATAGTTGATACGATGGTCTAGATAAAGACAAAAAGGAACTTTAAGTTGTCCAGAGCTGTTACCTGCACCTTTAGCAGTATATAATTTGCTACACACAGTAGGTATTCCAACCATTGAGCTGCAACCATAAATAGTTAAAGATTTTTATGCCAGTTTTAAGCAGATTTGGGAAGTTTTGGCTGAATAGACGGTGACTCAGTCATTGTTTCCATTAACTATCTTTTATATGAAAAGAGGCAAGAGCAGAAAAACACCCTTGGGTCAAACAGTCGTTTTAGTTTGACTTTTCTTTATTAACATCTCCCTCATAGTCCTGTTAATTGTGTTTGCAGCTGCGGCTGTTAGGAAAGACAACTTTCTCCCTTTACCATCTTTATTAGCACATGGAGTTCAGTGACCTCATGTAATTCCCACCATAACTCTGCCCAACTTTAACCTGAGCAGAGCTGTAATCAGCCGGAATAAGTGGAAACACCTGCACCACCTGCAAGGACTTTATCTTAATGGACCCAACAAGTGATGAGCGTATTTAGATATATGGTGACATGCAGGAGGTTGCAGGGTTTATGTTATGACTGTCAAAGTAACCCCGGTGGGAGGAAAATTCAAGTAGTCTTGCTGGTTTTACCTAAGTGTGACTGCGATTTCAAATCTCTGCAACATTACATATTAGCTTGTGACAGTCAACCAGCCTCCTTTTCTCTCCCCTGGCCTCCACCCTGCTTGGTTTCAAGTTGTAGTTCGGTTTGTGTGGTATATTTGTATGCCTTACGCTTATTTTCTTTTCTAATATGAGTTAATCCTCGTTTAAATTCCAGCTCATGTGTGGTCTCCCCTCTTTGTCCTTTTCAATGGATGTAAGAATATGCAGGGTTGTGACATGACTGAACTCATTGAAACTTGTGTTAATTTCTGTCAAACTTTGTCAGGGTTTCTTTCTCAAACAATATAAACTTCTGAGAAATACCACTCTTCTTTTCATATTTTCTTTTCATTGGTGCAAATATTTAATGTTACGAGTCTGGAAATATTCCAGAATATTTGCTAATCATTTCCATTTCCTAAAAAAGTGCAATTCAATTCGGCACTAATTAATTAGAAAATGTTCGGTGTTTACTGGAACTTGGAAAACATTTTCAGATTCTGATATCAGAATAATCTCCTGTGCATTGACAAACTTGTACTTGGATAAGACTTAATCAGACAACATGTTCAGAAAGGACAGTAATGAGTGACGTCTTTCAAGGAAAGCCAGAGAACATCGTTCGACATGGGATGACATTCCATGGATTGCTTCATCAGTCATCTGCTAGAAGCCTTTTATCTTTTTTCTTGGAACACGTGTACAAAGGGTTGTTGACAACTATAAAAGTAACAGTACACACAACTGGGAAAACAAGATCTTACAGTTGTCTCAGTCAAAGTGCATTCAGGGTAAGGATCCTTTCAATCACAAAATTCTAGTACTTTTTTTTAACGTGGCTCGACCAGTATCGACCTACCAGTGTGTAGGCGTTGTTTTAACCGCTTACATTTATGACAATGTCCAAGACAAAAGCTGCCTGCACACCGTGCCTTGCCCAATTGACATTTTAGAAGCCTGCAGACTGTGACTTGTCACTAAGACATGCAGGGATCAGCTATATTATTCGCCTGGCTCTACTGTTTGGCAAAGAGCTGCTTGGACAAGACTTGCCAGACCCACAAAGTATATGTTATATTATGATGTCAAAACAACCTGTCTACATCGGTTGTATTGCACGGGCAGCACAAAAGCCCGCAGCAGGCCTCTGTCTGTCTCTCTAGCTGTGCAGTCAGACAGATTTATGTTCTCAAAAGCGTTGAGACTTCCGAGAAATCCTATCAACCATGATCATAGTGTTGCATAGTGTGCAAGTTAATTGAACTGTGGACAATATGAAAATATGTCTCGGGATAGGGGAGATGCATATCACTCAGACATCTTGTTGGAAGAGAGTTTTGTTTTATAACAAAACATATTTTCATGAAATGGTGTGTGTTTTTTTTGCCCGATTAGATGACCTGAAAAAAACTCTTTTCTATGCTGCACCATCTGCTTCTCTGTAGCTGTGAACATGCAGCAATCAGCTGGTTAGTTCATAGAATTCACACAATATACATTTGTTGTTACCATTTGTAACAGTTTTTTTAAAAGCCCAATCACGTAGAAGTAATGAAAATGTTTCTAGTAGATGCCGTATGGACGCATTCTCCTCATTAACCCTTGGTGTCTGATTGACACACTTTCCGAAAGTTCAATTCAATTCAATTTTATTTGTATAGCGCCAATTCAGTTGCATGTTATCTTACACCCTCTTCTCAGAGTCATAACTCAGTTATAACTAAGATCACAGATGTAATTCTCTTAGATTCAGAATTACCTACACTTTGGAGGGATATTAATATCTCCATGTCTATCGTACATAACATAACATGCATAAGTGCAAACAAGTATAGCAAATAGATAATTCAGCATGACTTATCATGGTCCAAATTCACCAAAATTCTAAGAAATACAAGGTAAAAACAGTTTGCCATGCATCTTAAAGGTCCAGGTTGTACAATTTAAGAGGATCTATGGGCAGAAATTGAGTATTCATAGGTATGTTCTCTCAGTGTATAATCACGTGAATATAGGAATTGTTGTGTTTTCGTTGCCTTAGAATGAGCATTTTTTAATCTAAAAACACCACTGGGTCACCTTCCGTGGAGGTCGCCATGTTTCTCCAGTATCACGGAACAGACAAACCAAACACTGGATGTAGAAAGAGCCGCTTGTGTTTTTTGTGCGTTTCGCGGCCACCATAGTTTCTGCCCCACATCTATCGGTGAGAAACCTTGTTCTGAATGTATTCCTTTATTTAAATAATATATTTTCTTAAAAAACAATGATTTAGTAATGAACAAGAACCAATATCAGTATTGATAATAGCAGTAGTATTGATAAAATCCTAACGATACTCTTCCGTAGTTACGTCTTGTTTGCTGTGACTGTTTTGGTGACTTTAAAACCTCTGGGTGGGAGCTTGTTTGAAAACTGCAAAAATCCCATTTTTACTCACTTTACTGTCAGTAGTTTGTCAGTAAACCAGTGGACGGTTTCAAACTGGTCTGAATCACGGAGGGGCATTCATTTCCTAAAAGGTTTACTGAATCACACACTTTGTGGGTTATACGGGATGTGGCGTCAGAGGGGTTGTCTATATCGATTGCACAAGTACAGTTACAGTAAACCTAGATCTAGCTACTGATATCTGTTCACACAGCATTTTACTGCTTATCCGCAAACATCTAAAGATCAACTAAGTCTCAGCTTCCTTGCAGACCAGCGATCCTCCGTGTGGAAGGCAGAAACTTTCTACACTCAACGATCAGAACAGGCTTTGTGGCCAAAATATACCAGGCAGTTGCTGTTGGTGATTGGCAAAATGGAATGATTCTTCTTTATTGCGTTTATATGGTGTGTGTCTGTCTCCGTGTACATCTGAATGAATCCAACGACTGACGCTGTGTGTGTTAATGATTGGCCTGATCATGACTGCATGGGGCCAATAAACCCATTTAGAGCAAACGGCAAAGAGAGTTTCATTCCGAGCCAACACACACACACACACACACACACACACACACACACACCTGCACAGTAAGAAGTTTTTTATGACTTTGTTCATGCATTTTATTCTGAAAGTGTTTTATTTATTAACCCAGTTTGATCTCAGTGTTCTCCCTCTATTTGCAAATGAAGGACTCTGTGTAAACTTTGCTGGTTTTCTTTTTTTGTCACTAACCATTAAAGGGAGTAATTCACATTTGAAATTAGCTAGTTATTACTTGAACTCATGCTCACACCTGAGACCTCTGCTGGCGCTGCCTCTTCTACCTAACATAGATGTTTTTAGTCCTCACTGATGGGATTCCTTCAGGTGTCGTCTCATTCTCTGTCCCAGTACTCCCTCTTGTGGAGGACATCTCGGCGTGCAAGTGTATTGTGTCCCTACACTGACTTTACATCAGTGTGTGTTTCCCATGTGATCCAAAAGGACAACCTTCAGCCAAGAACGCGGTATTACAGAAATGTAATAAAAAGTCAAATATTAACATGATAAACTACATTCAACTCGACCTTTAGTACTGTTAACATTCCATACTGAATTCCTCTTTATACTTTCAAAGTTAAGACACTTTAGCACTATTTGATCACATGTATTTCATCAGCTTGTTCCTGTCCTCCATTAAATATATGATGTTGATTTTTTTCATGTTATTTTATTTGTACAGTCACACATATTGATATACTTTGGTCCAGTCTGATTGTATGATATTTTGAACAGACATTCATGATCCCCAAAAGATGAACTGTAATAGCATTGGTTATCTCCTGATTGCTCATTTAGTGCAATCATCTGGTTCATTTCTTTTCATTTGTACTTTGGTTTATGACCAAATACTGCAATGACAATCCCATCAACCTCAGTTGTACTTTGTGTTTAGTTCTAATTAAACTAAACTAAAACAGTGAACATAGTAAACATTACACCTGTTAGCATTTCTCTTAAAGCACTGCTGTAAGTACAAGAGCAGTGTTTGGTTTGTCCGCTACTGTAGAAATGGTGGTCCAACATGGCGGGCTCTGTGGAAGAGGACCCGCTCCCTCTGTAGATAAAAACTACTCAATGTAGGATAACAAAAACATGTTTCTTAATTTGAGATTAATACACTTTTATTTTATATTCCATTGCTGTCAATATATCCTCCTATATTTAAAGAAAATATTACAGTTGCCTTTTGAAAAGAAGGTTTGCATTATTGCCTGTTTTTTATCTTAATTTTTTAACAAATTTGTAATAATTCACTGATATAAAACTGCCTATCTGGTATTTATTTGTCTCCAACATAAATGAATAGAAAATATGTCATTCCCATCATTAAAAAAATAAAATAAATCTGCTTATATTTATTTACCCAGGACTTTTGTCCTCTTCCATAACACTGATGAACCACTGGATTCGGGATAGTAGCGTCACCAAAATATAATGAACAACACAGAGACAACAGGCATTAAATTGCACCAAAAACATTTTTTATTCTATAAAAGAAGAAGGGAGGAAGGGGGAAATCACAACTGTACAGGGAGAAACTGACTTTTAAACACCATGAGTCACAGTATCAAAAAGCTCACGTTTTCCTCACTGATCTTTACACATTTGTTCTGTACAAATACAAAAAAAAGAAAAAAAATATTATTAATAATTGTATTATAATGATAACTGCATTGCACTGAGTAAATATAGTACTGGCCCATAAGTTACTGCATTCAATAGAAAATACCTAAAGTTTTTGATTTGAAGAGGAAGTAATTCGTGGTGAGTCGAGGCACACAGATGGACACAGTCAGTGACGTCACCCTCAGACATGAACTCATCCTGTCCAGGTCTCAATGGGGGATAAAATTCATCAAATGTTTCACTGCCTGTTCAAAGATGAACATTCCTGCTTAATACATGAACAGAAGATTTAGAGGAATACCGAGGGAAAACAAGCTTGCACAAACCGCAAAAAACCAACAGGAAGCAGGAAAAACACAAAACACATGCATCAGTCTCCCTGCAACAACTCAAACACCAGCGATAAGACTTTGTCTGGGTCATCGTCAACAGGCTATGAGATGTCATGAGTGACTATCCTCAGTGTGAGGTTTCAGTGTGTGTGTTTGTCTCTAAAAACACCAGTTTTGCTGTTATAATGGTCACCAGAGCTGATAAATGTGCTTGTAGAGCGATGGGTCAGTATAATTTTCAGATAATGACACATCCATGGGGTAAAAGTTCCTAGAATTAAAGGGGCTTGAGATACATCTAACTAAATACAAACACTTTTAAGGGCTCCTTCATGTAAATTACACAAAAAAAAAAAAAAAAAACATATTCACATTTATCTCTAACGGTATCTAGCAATGCAGATCTATCTCTGAGATTTCTGCCTTTATCACGATACAATGGAGGGGAAAGGAACTTAGTTTGTGGTATTTTAAAGACTCTGGTTACAGACGCCACCGTCTTTATTGGCACTCTACTTAAGATACGTTAGTTTGAAGTAGGAGTTTGACAAAATGAGTCCACTTTATAGCTTTTGGAGCGATACCAGATCAAAAGTCAGTCCGACGGCTGGAGAAACATCAAAGAGGCCTTTCAGATCTGACGAAGAGCATCTATAAACAGAGACTTAGGTTATAACCCCCTCCTTGCACCTGTTATCACATGACCAAAGTTCCATACTTAGGTGAAGTGATGACAACCATCTCCATGACAACTGAGCAAACTCCATCTGATGCATATGCTAGTAAGTAGACCTTGACTTTCACCAGGAATGTCTTTTTTTTTATTACAATGCCGTGAGCACTACAATCCGTCAATCCCATTCACCTCCATTGTACTGGGTTAAAACTAGTACCATCGCTAGATACCACTGGATGTAATTGAGAAAATGTTTTTATGTGATTTTTTCATATTGGTAGGAAAATTGGACCTGAGCATTTCCACAAATAATCAAAACGATGCCCTTAAGTTATATGACAAGTCTACAAAGAGCTCAAGTCCGACATCTTTGCCTAGCCGCTTTCTGCTCAGTTCTTCTGGAACACAAAGTCCTTTTCAAAAACACTGAACCATTTTCCTGGTTTTCCGTGTCCATATTCTGAGATTAATGGCTGTCTGCTACTGTCCTGGATATAAAGATTTGTGGACATTTCCTCATTTCAGCCAAGATACATGAACAGTTATTCTGTTAGCATTCAACAACAACATATCCCATGAGCCTTAGCAACTGCAGTCAGTCGTGTGCCATAAATTGTTGCTGAACACTAACAAAAAAGATTTCAAGCTAAATTCCTGATTACAGATACTACACAAATGTTTTAGCATGTAGCATGTGGGCGAATTCTCAACCCAATGAATGATTTTGGTTTCTAGGTTTGACCTTCTTTAATGTCTGAACTTCAGTTTGGAGAAAATACCTTATCATATTTAAATGAATCTGTTTTGTATCTGTAAAGCTTTGCTGCAATAAAATGGCAAACTGGGTTTCTGTATGCAACTATAGGTTGTTTTTTCTAATATAACAAGGTGTATAACAGGTTGGATACGTCTGTATCTTCCACCTGTGTTAGACCTGGTAAGACAGACCCTGTACCCCAAAATAACCAAAACAGTGATATTTGTAACCCCGTTTGACCTGAAATGCTCTGTAAAAAAATGTTTTTCTGACCCAAGCCAACTAAATCTCCCATTTCACGGACTGTTTGATTTTTTTTTTTAGTCATTTAAATTCAGTCCAGTGCAGAAATATCAAGCTCTGTTATAATAAATGGATCACTAATTAATCATTTTCAAAGTGGGTTTTTTTTTCCTCATGTCATCAATGCTGAGGGAAACCCACTGTCTCACACACACGGACATGCTCACCAACGTCACTATAGGAAAACAAGAAGGCTACGCTCCATGCAACAAGTGTGCACAACACAAGTGGGACCAATCTTTTTTTAAGAAACTACGAAACAAATGTATTAGATTTTGAAAAAAAGAACACATGATGAAACACATTTCATCAAACCAACAGAGGAAGAAGAAAAAAAAAAAGATTTTTTCACATTATCTAGTCAGTGTTAAAAATAGAAATTCACCCGTTACATTTACTCTGCACTTTTTGATTATATACATTTATGTACATGGATTTATCTTAATTATTTGTCATTGTCCTTAATGTCTTTATCAACAGTTTACAAAAGAAAGAAAATTGCAATCAAATGCATATACTCTTCTAGAAAGATGTGCTTAGTAACTATGTTTTTTTTTTTGTTGAAGCGGGGGGGATGTTAAGAGAAACGGGAACATTGCATTGCTCTGCGCTGCACTGCAAAAAAGAACAAAATACCTCTAAACAAGTGACTGAATTTAGTTCAGATTCTTATTAATCTTTTACAAATGGAAAAAACTATTTTCTTTTTTTTTTTTTACACTTGGTTAAACCTGTTTCCAGACTTTCCTTGATATGAGTGACAATATCCTTCAACAAGGCTGAAAAAAAAATCCACAACCAGATTCAGTGACTTTGCTATGACGGATATTTTTTTGCAGTGTGCAGACCAAACAACAATCTGCCCTGTTCATGGCATGCACTCAGCTCACAGGAAGCCTGCACGTCCATCTCGGTTATCATACTATGAAAAAGTCAGGTGTTTAACATTTTGCTCTCGCTTACTAGCTTTTGAAATAACAACAACAACAGTAACTCCGAATGAAAACAGCGTCGCAAAAGCAAAATGTGTCTTGCCTTTTTGTTTGTAAAGGGACGCGTCAGGATTGTGAAAAGCCGGTTCCATTGATCACATCCTCAGCCCCTCTGTTTAAGACATCATTACACAAGTTTGATTTCCTGTCTGTGTTCCTGTCTCAGTCCACAGTCACAACCCCTTGTTGTCTAAGCGGTTTTCAGAGTTGGCTTTGTTCAGCGATCGACAGCACAGGCTTCTACGCATCCTGGCCTCCCTTTAGGGTTCTTCTTACAACCCATGTGAGCTGCATATCAGCAGTGCAACTACCAGCTAGTGCTCTACTACAGTTCAGAACAGCGCTTTGAGCGAGGTCTGCGTTATGTTGCATAATCAAGTTCAGTCCAGAATGGGAGCTGAAAAACAGCCCACTTAAGACATGGACACCGTGGGTTAGAGGGCAGGGTTAGGGGTTCAATTCTGTTCCAACAGAAGTTAAAAAAATGTGCTGATTAGATTTAGAGTTCAGCACAGGCTAGTTACCGGGGGAGTGAGGTCGACAAAGTTGTAGACAACAAAACTTTAGGGAGAAACAGCATTAAAAACAAGATTCTCTGTTAGAATTAGTTTAGAGTTAGTTTTTTGAGGCATTAAATGAAGTTTTGTCACGATGAAAAACAAACTCAGTTGAAAGAGAATTGACCCCCACCCTGATAAAAATGCTAGTGAGGAGAGCGCTTAGTTTCCCCGTGGTTTAAACCGCAGGCACTACGGACCCTGACAGTCCGACACAGTGCCTGGTTTCTCCCAGAACCACTGACAGACGGCCCGACCACTGGGACTTTCAGTGGCCGCCATGTTGGCTCCTTGTCCTGCTGCTCCAGTGGATGTTGTGAGATCACGAAACCAGTGCAAATGGCGTTTATATTGACGGGTGCTTCAGCATGGCGGCTGATGGGAGGTGTTCATAGTGCTTCCTGCGCTTGCAAATTCTGAAAATGTCGCTGCTACAGTTTTTAAAAGACCACATCTTACACACTCAGCTGAATTTTTTCTCTTCCGCTATTGTCCAAAATTCTAAAAGCTTTAAATCTGCTTGCTCTGGAGCGCTCTCTTTATGTTTTGTGCCAAAAAAAGCAATCCAGCAGATTTTCTGCTATAACGGCCCTCACAATGCAAAATACTGTGTAGAAGACTGTTCACAGACTTCAAAGGCAATTTTGTCCCCAAAGTAAAATGTGACATTTAAAAGTTCCTCACGTAACATCTTTAAGTTCTCGGTTTCAAAACACTAAAAAAACAAGTTTAACTCTCACTGCTGTGAGGAAGATCTTCTCCACAGAAAGCAGCGAGAAAAGCAAGCCGAGGCTGCAAACATCCGGTACTCACGGACAAACAGTGTTATTGTGTTTTAATAAATGGAGACACACAGTTGATCTTTGGCCTAACATCCTCTGTCAGTGGTTCTGGTTTCGCCCTTACAGATTGACTTCAGTTATTAAGGCTCAACGGGCAAGAGGTAAAAGAACAACAAGTGCCCGGAACACACACTCGTAAAAATCTTAAATTCTGATTATGTGTTTGTCTCAAAACATGCACACGGACCCACAGACACACACACACACGCACACACGCACACAAACAACACACGCAAAAAACACACACTCAGAAAAGCTCCCCTATTCCCTGCGTGAGAGTTTTACTTGTAATCTCAAACTATTTGTGTCTCCTCAGTCTTTTTCACAGCCTCAGAACACAACAAAAGGATCTGAAATAATTTTCAAAAGACAATGCCATTCTGTTAAAAAACGCCAAACCTGGCAAAGTAGAAGAAAAAAAAAAAAAAACGGCATAACTGAAGGCCTTATTTAATAACACAACAGCAACAACGACGCATAAAAAGCAAATACTGTTATCGAAGAAGAATCAGAAAGGTGTGTGCGGGGGGAGAACACACAAACAACAATAATGTGATTGATACAATGAAAACAAATGAATCTTTATAAAGTTCACAGTCTTGTAGCTCCCTGTACCAGGGGAGGCGGAGGCGGGTGGGGCTGGGGCTGCAGGGAGGAGGGAGGTGCGGGGGTGATGTCGGGTGGGGAGTCCGGATACAATAAACCACTTTAAGATCCAAGTCTCAGATGGATGTTTGCCGAAGAGGAAATATATGATTGACGTCACTTCAGCGGCGGTGAAAATAAGCTCATTACATGCGCGCACACACACACACACACACACACACCACACGCACACACACACACACACACACACACACACACACACACACACACACACACACACACTCATCCACTGATATGCACAGGGTTGGGAAGCCTTTACTTTCAAGATCCATTACAGTTTTAATAAATAATTTATCCAAAGGTTTTGATCCCAAATTGATAATAATAATCCAACCGAGTTGTTTTTGGACCCCTTTCAAAAAACAGAACCAGACGGTCCCTTTTGCACGTTTCAGCTGCATCCTGGGAAACTAGTGAGATTCTGCAAATAAATCCAATTATATATTATTTGTTTAAGAGATGATTTTGATGAAACAATGCCAGAATCATTGTGTTGATCCATGATAGTTCCTGGGCCATTCCAGAGCACTTCGCCCAGACCAAGGAATGAGGATTAGAGCTGGGAATTCAATGTTAACACTTCTTTGGTACCAACCGAAATGTGATTAGATCATCGATTTTGCCATGGTTTTTAAGTCAAAAGGTTAGAAAGAGGCAAGGTCTTGAGTTCCTAAAAAAAAAAAAAAAAAAGTTCCCAGAAAAGGTTCCGGTGGTGAAAAGGGGCTATTTGAGGCATTCTGGGGAGTTTTCCAAACATCCATACAATATGAAACTTTGGCTTTGAGTCACATAACTTCCCAACTCTGGATATGTACAGAATTTTTTTTTTTTTTTCAAAAAGAAAAGCGCAGCTGAAGTGACATCCTGCTTAAAATTCCCCTTCTGGTTTGAGTTCAAAGACGTCACTCCTCGTCTTCCTCCTCTCCTTCGGATGGATGGATGGATGCTTTTGATGGATGGATGAACGTCCCCCGCTGATGGATGTCCTTCAGTCCATCCTTCTCTTGACGTCTTGTGTGACGGGTGGGGTTTGTTGGAGGATGGTGAGGAGGGGAGTTTTGGAGTGGGAGGACTGTTGGGTGGACGGTGATGATGATGATGATGATGATGATGATGATGATGATGATTATGTGTTGAAACACACACAGTAAAAATCCCCTAACCGCCACTGTGCACACACGCTAAACGCACAGACACATTCCTGATATTCCTGTGATTTCAAGATGAAGAGGAGGAGGAGGAGGAGGAGGAGGAGGAAGGAGTTATGCAGTCTTTTTTATCTGCTTATTTGGGCTGCAGAATAGGTGAGAAGAGAAACAGGAAGTAGCGGAGGTTCATGTGGGGTGGGGTGGGGGGGCACTGGTACAAGATGTGCTGTGAGGGACTTCTGGGGGGGGGGTAAGAGGTTGGTTTGAAGGGGAGGTTGATCAGGGAGTTGTGGGTGTTCGGGGGAGGAAGGAGGTCAGAGTTCACATCATGACGTGACGGCGGCGGTGCAGGGAGAGGTGGTCGGACCGGGAGAAGGAGCGGTCGCACTCGGTGCAGCGGAAAGGTTTGATCCCCGTGTGCTTGCGGAAGTGTCGAGTCAGCTCGTCGGAGCGGGCGAAGCGCCAGGTGCAACCCTCCCAGGTACAGTGGTAGGGCTTCTCTCCTGGAGGAAGCAGGAGACAAGGAGAAAGGTTAGGGGAGAGGAAAGGGTGGGAGGAAGCGAGAGAAGGAAGAGGAATGTCTGGATTCTGATGGTAATAAAAAGGCAGGAATGACGCAATTCTACATCAGTTGGTTATTTACTACATTTCCCAGAATTCCCAACTCAGCTCAGTAAGATTGGTCTCTGTCTCTTCTACGAAGAATGTTTCCCTGTATGAGCATTGGCTGTTAGTAGGAAACTGTGACTATATGAAGATGTAATACAATACAAGCCTGTGGTTTTTTATACACAAACTGCTCAGAAAATGTGTTTTTAGGAGCTTTAAAAATGCATTTCTTCCCTTTTTCCAGTCTTAAGAGCTAAATGCACGTAGCTTTTCACAGCTTTACCTGCTTTTGTGTTGCTGGAAAATACCCACCACAATACGATGAACCAGTCACATCTTTTTATGGCTTATTTATTTTATTTTTTTAAACTACATTACGGTATTTGAATAAGGGGATTAAGAGGGATTCAATTGTTCAGAAAAAAACTTAAAAAGTAGAAGAACCACTCTTTTTTCGGTGAACTGCTTTTTTAGGATTTTGTTGTGCTGGCAGGTCTCACCTGTGTGTATCCTCCTGTGGGCTTTGAGGTGGGAACTCTTGGTGTAAACTTTTTTACAGCCTTCATAGTCACACATGTGGATCCGCCTCCTCTTGATGTCTGGCGAATCTGGATCGACTGGCTCTAAGTCCATAACCGACCTGAGAAAAGAAAAAGGATTGAGTGAGTGAAAAATAAACCCACATCCCTTTGACTTTTGGACCCTCCATTTGAATACTTTAACATACATCACATTGCTATCCAAAATAAGAGACCTGACCAAAATGTAACTACCAAATTACAAACTAAAGTGTAACAGGAGGATGTTGGAATGTGAGAATTAAGGCCTAACTGATACACTGCCTAAACAAATATCACCAGTCAGTGTTAGTTTATCACAAATATATTGTTATTGGTGTGTGAGTATGAGATATAGTAGTACAGACATTAGTTATTGAGGTTATTAATTACTCATGACTCATCACTAAATAATAATTAAATACGTTTTTTTTCACGTTATGTATCAGATTTAGTTATTGGTCAGTCTGGCTCTAGTAAGAATAGAACTGTAGTGGAAAAAATATATTGTGTTTGCAAATGACTCTTTCAACTGTTAATATTTAATTTTCTTCATTAATATGTAAATAAAGTGCCTTCTTGAAAAATGCTCAACCTTTGCTCGATTCATTTACATTGCACTTCTCTCCTGCTGTGGGCCATCATGGTGTCATTGTACTACACACTATGTTAGTATGTTCTCAATAAAAGCTGAACCAGTTTTTCATCATATGACCTGCCGTACTTCATTCATGTGACGCGTTTCATCATCAGACAATAGAGCAACTCGTCTCTCAGGTTCAGCTTCATTTGAAGGTGACACGACTGCCACTGGGGGGCGTCAGAGAGTCACACTTTTTTCCAACACAGCTGCCCAACAGTTTTCACTTCAGTCTTACTGGATCGCTCTCCCTCTTGTTTATTCCTTTATATCTTCTCAACCTTCCTGTTTTTTATTCCCATCTTTCCTCATACAAAACAAGAGAGAGTTTCACTGAACTCCATCCACTTTTTTCTCTCCATTTCATTCTCCAAATACCTCTCTCCCTCCTTCTTCTTGTATTAAATTAATATCATTATATATTTATATTATTGATTTATTCCTATTTCACTGAGCGAGTTGTCAGCACTGTGATATTCTGATTTAATTATATGTTTTCATTCTATTTATTTAATAATCACAATATAAATAAAGTTGATTTTAGAAAAAAAAAAAAGAAAAAACCTTCTCTGTCTCTCCCTTGCCATTTTACAAGGAGGTGTGACGGCAAGCTGCATTACGAAACCATGTTTACACCCCAGTTCTGGGACAGCCCTGCCCAGCAACACACACACACACACACACACACACACACTCTCTTCATCACAAAAACTAGAACACAAATACCCACAAACACACTTCACTTTAAACACATTTAACATTCTCTATTTCTCTCTCTCTCTCTCTCTCTCTCTCTCTCTCTCTCTCTCTCTCTTTGTATCCCTCACACACACACACACACACACACATACACAGAGCAGATTACAGCACTAAACTAACCGTCAACGTCCACACCCTTAATTTCAGTTACAGTCAGGCGGCCTCGCCCACTGGGTGTGGCAGGAGCTCTGACCTGATTTACTAATAAACACACCGGACATACAGTACACACACTCACACAAACACAAACACACACACACACACACACACACACACACACAGTATTACTGTAGGTTTACTGTATGTGCGCATGCTACACACTTCATAACTGAGGACATTTGGTCCTCTCAAGGAAAGTGTGATTTGATTTGATTGGTTTTCACTTGTAAGGCTGCAGAGTGAAGGTTAGTGTGCCAGTGAAGGCTCTTACAAGTACATAAACACACACACACACACACACACACACACACACACACACACACACACACACACACACACGTCTTCCTGTGATACAGCCAGGGCGTCTCCAGTATGTTCTGCTGTACAGAGGGTTATATAAGGTTATATAAGTGTCCAGTCAAGGCAGTGCTGCAGTAATGTAATTAGTCAAGAGGCTGCAGGGGAGGGAAGTCCACACAAAGACCTCATTTCCCAGAAACCCTGCTGTGCATTAGTGTCTTTCTCACTGTCCCTGCCAACTCACATCGTGGACTTTACAGTGAGATTACATCACGCATAGTTGATGATATTTATGACCCGTCAACAGTTCTACAGTCCAGACGCTATGGAGGAAATGCTCTCTGGACCATTGCTGTGCCACGATTGGCCACTGGAACAGCAACGTTGACTGTCCATGCCATATCCAGCTCTAAGTGTGCTGTTTTCCTACCAACAAGCAACACTGCCAGATCAGTTCAACATTTTTGGACATACATTTATTCACTTTCTTTCCGAGACTGAGATGAGTAATTTGATACCACTCTGTCTGTGTGTTAGAGCTGGAGTCAGTTCGCTTAGCTTAGCATAAACACTAGAAACAGGGGGACGCAGCTAGCCTGGTTCTATCCAAAATACATTACACACACTACAATATTTAACATGTTTTTTTGTGTTACATGCAGAAGAATGTAACAACTGTTATGAGCTTAAAGAAATCGCTCCAACATTCAGTAACATTGTGAACATTGAACATTGTGTTCTTTGGTCAAATTTAGAGTTTACTTTAGTTTTTTACTAGCAGCCTTCTTCCTCTGTTCTTTTAGTGATCTGTTGCTAGTGTTTTACATCATGTTACTGCCCCCGCTGGCTATAAGTGGAACTACATGTATCTTTGGTAGATGCAGACTTTGAGATAGGCCTCAGCAGCAGTTTCATTCAGAAAACATATTAAAAAAAAGTTGACATTCAGGTCCAGGTAACAACTGATTTAAGGTTTCAAGCAAGAGTTAGAATGGCTTCGAATAAACATAGGAAATGATTCAAATTTGACATAAATTTAACTGAACAATGGCATATTTTCAGATCAAACCATAAAACAGTAAACTCAATGTAGTGACAATGGTAGTTTGTTACATGTTCAGAGTATATAGTAAAGAGAATTCAGAGGACTTATTGTGTAAATATACTCATCGATGTGGGTCTACAACACGCTACACATTTGTATTTCCATCCCACTGCAGCAATCTGGACTGCATCACCTACATGTTAATGCATATGCCCTCAGGAAGACACTCACAAGATCCCCAGCCCTGATTGGTTGAGACGAAATATAGGAAAAGTTGAGAGGAAACCTACAGTAAACACAGCTTTTTTTTATTCATTTCTGCAAATGTCTTTCAGTGTGTCCTATTTCTTTCAGGCACGTACCACTTTCAGGTCTGGATTTATAAAAGTCACGCAGGTGTGGGGGGGGAAAAAAAAAATCAAAGAGTGTGCTTAAGTATAATCTGTTTGTTGTGTTCGTCTGTGGCTGGACTCACCCGGCGTCGATGCTCTGGGCACTGAGGGAGGCCGATCCGGACTCTGTACCGCTCTCTGCATCGCTGTCACTCTGATACTCCACCGGAGACGTTGAACCTGGCTTAATACGAACTGCAGAGAGGACAGGATGGGGGGGACAGAAAGGAAGGAAGGAAACGGTGGTACGAATAGGAAGAGAAGAAAATTAAAAATCAGACAGATGGAAAGCGGGATGGAGAGAGATCGAGGAAGGGCAATGGAGAGCATGAGAGGCCCAGAGAAAGAGATAAATAAGAGAATGAAATTACAAAATTGGAGAATAGAGATAATAGAGGAAGAAGAGGAGGGGTGGAAAGAGAAGAGAACAGCAGGGGGTTAATATCTTCTTAATAGCGATGTCTGGATTCCAGCAACTTAGCAAGACAAAGGTTCTTTTTTTTTTTGTGTGTGTGTGTGTGTGTGTGTGTGTGTGTGTGTGTGTGTGCGTGTGTGCATGCGTGCAGTTAGGTGCGGTCTAGTGCTAGGCTGCAGAATTGATGGATCAAATTTGTGGCCAGAAGCCCATGCTGGATTTCCCTGCATGTCTCATCGTTTCTACGTTCCTCTTTCTCAAAAATCCGAAACATGTTTTAGTTTTCTCGTCCAACCAGTCTGTCTTTCTTTCCTTTTTCTCTCATTTTCTTTCAACCTTTTACAAAGTCAAAAGCAGGAAGAAGAAAATGTGAACAGATGTTAATGAAAAAAAATTCTGCAGAACTCAAAGACAATGCTAATTAGCAATTAACTGGGAGACAAATCTCTCGGGGCTATCAGAAGCCTCTGCTGGTTGTCTTCAAGTTTCGGCAAGCTGTTAGAAATATGAACACATTCTGGGTTTTCACCAAGGAGGATAAGCCTTTTTTTTTAAAGTTGTGGTCTTGCTTCTAAATTCTTCATAGCTGAGAGTAATTGCTCACTAGATATTTTCTTGTCGAATGCTGGGCATTTTGGACATTTAAATCAATGTCCACTTCAACCAATAAGCAGAAGGAAGATGACCTGTTGTCTCTTGAAAGTCAGGTCTCAGTGTGAGATTACACTGGATGAGAAGATCACATCATTTGCTATTTAAAGCTGCTATAATCAACAGTTTTACACACACAATTGATCAAATGAATACATGTGCAGGAAAGACATCACTCCAAATAATTATCAGCCAACTCTAAGGTTATCCTCTGTCAGATAATCTGTCTGGATCAGACAGCAGCACTAATTTATTTAGTCTATTGGTACATTACCAACACTCCCTCCCTCTCCCTCCCTCTCCCTCTCTCTCTCTCCCTCCCTTTCTCCCTGTGTCAGTGAGAGTCTCTCACTCCCCTGTCGCTCCCTCTTTTTTTCCTCCTAAATTCACAATTTGACAATTTCATGGGCTGCTGCTCATCAGAAACAATATTACCAAAGCGGAAAACACGACATGAGCAAACAACGAACAATTTATGCATCAAAATGAAAACATAATGAATGAAAACAAAAGTGCAAATTACTGGTCTCTCCCCCCCCTCCTATCTGCAGGAATGTGGCAGCCATACTGGTCAAAGTCCACCCAGCCTGCAGAGAGCAAGGAGGGGAGGGGCAGTTGGGAGGGTGACGCAAGGAATTTGGGTGGAGTATCTGTGTGTGTGTGTGTGTGTGTGTGTGTGTGTGTCTGTGTGTCTGTGTGTGTGTTGGTATGGAGAGGGTCACACACCAAAAGAAGTGTTCTTTGTCTCTGGAGACAATTAAGCCACCCCCCGCCCCTCCGCCATTGCAGCCTTTCTTTTTCAAAGGCAAAACGACCCCATCTCCTCTCCTCTCGACCCCTGCACCCTCTCCTCCTCATCCTTCCTCACCCCTGCAGCATGCTCAACCCCACCCCCCAACCCCCCAGTCTCATTCCATTCCTCCATCTGCGTCTACCTATCCTCCCACACAACACCACAGCACAGGAACAGCGAATGTCAGCTGCCTTCCTGCTTGTTCGCTCTGCAGGTACAAGAGGAAACAGGACATATCAAAGTTACCGTCTCCTTCTCTCTCTTTCTCCCTCACTCTCTCCCCCTTGTCTGGCTCACATCTTCACTCTTTGTTTCTGAGCCTCCTTTCAGCGTTGTACAGCACTCCCGGGCTCCGAAATGCAGCAACAAAAACACACTTTCAATATGGCCTACGAGAACTGAACGCTCAGAATCCACCTGGCCCTACTCACAAGATTAGACGATATTACATTACAACAGTTTAGGGGGCACTTGAATGATCCCTCTGAGGAAACTGAGTAAAAGATAACTGTGCTAACTGTATGTGTGAGATCAAGTTCTTCACCCATCTGTTTGGTTTCATTTGGTGTAGAGGATATAGACTGGCCAGATAGATAAATATGATACTGGGAATCTGGAAACACAGCAGTATTACTTAAAAGCAGTCAGACAGGGCGGGAAATACAATCAGACAGATTTTAAACAAACCCCCGGAGGTTTCCAGACACATTGGGAAGAGAGAAAAAGTTCTAAATCACAGTTTACAGACCAGCATCCTACCAATATTTTAGGTGTCATCAGTGATTTTAGGTAATCTCCATTAACAGTTGCCTTGCTGTAGTGATGTTGTCATTATATCAACAGAAAATGATGATCAAATCAAGAAAAATAAGGCCCAAGCTGTAAACCAGAATCATTTTTTAAAGAGCACCTTGACTCTAGTTGAAAAAACGTATTTTTGTTGACCTCAAGCATTGACGTAGGAGTCCAGGGTGTGTCAGGACAGGCATCACTGTAAGGTGTGGTTACAAAAGAGACTGAGACTGTGAAACAAGCTGCTTTTCAGCCAGGTATTAAGTCACTCCTCAGTACCAAGAGATTACTGCTACCACTTGCTGACATTTACAGCCACTGAAACGAGCAAAGTTGCCAAACACAGCTTGAAAATCCCCAATGAAATGTTATTAACATACTTAATTAATGTGGTGTAATTCTCTGAGAAACACTATGTTGGGGCTGGATGTTAGATAGTCAGGGATCAGACTTAGACCTACAGTCTCAGTTTAATACTGATGCCTCTATATGATCTACATATGTACACAAGATCATCATCGAGAAGATTGGCTATTTCTATTATCTATCTAACTATCTAAGTTATTCTAAATGCCTTCCATTGGTACGGATTAGGTCGGATTCCAGGTATAAGATGAGACTGTTGAAAAATGCACGTGGACTTATTAGTTATATGAATTAGTGCAGCAGGACGTCACCAATGAACATGAACTTTTTTCCAAGAGGTTCAGGAGCTCATTTCATGGGGATGGTTCAAGTACTGCATCATGCCAGCAGTCAAAAGTGACAAAAATGACTTTGAGCATGTTTTCATTTCACTGTATTCTGTGCGACTGCATCTAATATAAATCAGTAGAAAGCACTTTAGAGACAGAAAAAAGTCAATTTGCACTTTGTTAAATAAAGAAATGGTTCTTTTACTCTCACTATGGGCACAAGGACAATTTAAAAACAACCATATAATAAACAGTGTTTCCTCTATGTTGATTTTGGAGCGGCGGTAGTGGGGAACAAAATATTAGGAATGCTCATGAGAAAATATATATAGCATTCTCCTCATCCCGTGCCTGGAAATTAAGTAAAGTAGAAGAGGCTGTTTGAGACAAAGTGGAGAAAGTAAAGAATGTAAATTATAACACTCCGTGACACAAGAACTCCTGGCATGTATTGAACATGCTGATGAGGTCAAACAGTCTGAGAGCATCCTTAGGCCAGTTTGTGTGGCGGAGATTCTTCCTGAGAGTCACTTCCTCCCTCGTTTACATTCCTGAGTCAGGGCCGTGCTGGTTTAGATTAGAAACCAAGGTGAACTAAACTTACTTTACTGAGGGACTTTACTGCAGTTTGTCAAAGGGGTGGAGGCCTGTTTTGCCAGCTTGCCTGAGCAAATGTCGAGCTGCCCCTGGTGTTTACTCAGGGGTGGATTGCAGCTCCTTTAACCTCTCCATTTGCTGCTGCTTAACGCAAATCGACCTGATCGCTTGGCGTGTTTAAGGCGCTCCTGACTACCGGCTGACATGATGACAGGAGGCCGAACTCTGACTTTAGAGAGTAGTTCGATATCGAGACTTTACCACTGCTTTCTCTCATTAATCTTAATGTCAGAGAATGTCAGGATGTTTGAAGAGCACAACTTCAGAAATAGGTACAAGTTAAAAAATGACAGATTATTAGTTACTCAGCAACCTTGTGTTCCTCTGCCTACTCAGAAAAGGAACACTTAGACATTAAGAACTTTCCCTAACAACATATTAGAGGTTGGAATCTGCTGATGAAACATTGACAGATGCATGTCACAACATTTCTCTCCGCGAGTTTCCTTATTTAAGTGGAAATATCAATCATCTGGCACATATGGAGAGCTTCTACAAATCACAAAGATAGACAGGCAGGCAGACGTCAATGTCTAACATACCGCTAACCACAAACACACACAATATCCCCTCGGGAGACACACTGTACTCCTCTGAGACCGAGAGCTCCCCATAAATGACAGTGTGGGCAAGAGTGACAGAACCATGGAAGAACAATGGCGGGTGTGACAGTCAAAGATAGAACAACTGGCAGGGAAAAGGAGAGGAGAGGTCTAGCAATCTAACATCCATGTTAAATTGCCTTCCTTTTTCTAACTGGACGACCACTCGGTGTGTTATGTATCGTCCCAACATCCTGTTTCAACATACAAATGACCTTAAAGGAAGATGCTCTATAATGTTAAATTGTGACTTGAACCCCTTCCTACCCTGAGTATGAGGCTGTATGATTTTTAAACAGCATTTAGTGCATACTGTGGTACAAATGACATCAGCAGTATTGAATTAGTTGCACTCATAGCAGCAGCAGTAGTAGTAGTAGTAGTAGTAGTAGTGTGGGAGGCACCATTGTGCAGCACATCAAGGACACACAATGTATGAGACATAATATAGAACATATGAAGTAAGGCTGGAGTTATGTTCTGCATGCACAACTCTCTGTTCATTTGAATGGTAAACCTCTTCAACTCTGCTTTACTGCATCATTTATTAATTAATATTATCTTTAAATAGCTGGAACTGTAGATCACAAAGGAGATTGTGTCACCAATTTACAAGAGAAGGTAAAGTAGCCAATTGCAGGAGCAAGTTTGAATATAACAAAGATGCCTACAGCTTACTGATACACGATTCACTGCTGGTGCTTGGATTTATATGGAAAATAATGCCGAAGTATGTAATGGTTATCATGTGAGCCTGTTAGCATGCTAATATGCAAAGCCTACTTGGTCCCAGATCTCTGATTTTCTGCCCACATCTCCGTTATTTCATTGATGGCTTCTTCCACAGTTGGAAAAACAAACCGAGCCAATCAGAGCTTTTAAGGCGGAATAAAGAATTGGGACATTGTTTTCCTGTACCAGAGTCAGAAACTGTGAATCTGATTGACGCAGCTATACAGGTTGGTGTTAGTCAACTTACAGAAATAGCAACTCTTAAACGAGCATATTCATTAAGTTAGCTGCCTCTAGCAACAGCTACCAGATGTCAACTGAAAATTATTTCACAGCTGATTATTCTTTTGCAAAAAAACACAAATGCCCCAACATGAACATGGTGTAAGGCTGAGTAATGAAGTGAAAACAACCTGTCAAATCCATCTGATAATCAGTTGTTGTGTTGTAACATGCCAACGTTAATTGCTGTTAGCATGTCAGCATGCAATGTTAACATTAGTCTCAATATACAATTTGTCCAATTTAAGTATTGGACAAATTGAAGTTTGTCCAAGAACATGTTGAAATCGATAGATCGCCACTGCGAGTCACGAAAAGGTAGATTAGTAGCAGTATTGCATTAGCAACATATGAGTAATACCGCTGTCATATGGTATCATACCGGATGTTTTTATTGCACCACTCACCAGATCCTTCTGAGCGCCCATCACTGCCTATGAGTGGCACTGTAATGGCTGCTGTGGCCATGCCATCAGTAGGCATGGTGGTGTAGACAACAGGCAGTGACTGCACCACCACAGGGATGGTCTGGAGCTGGCCCACCTTGCTGGGCATGCTGACCGAGGGGATTGTATGGATGACGTGAAGGATCTGCTGGCCCCCGGCGCCCTGAGTGGCCAAGATAGAGCCTGGAGAGAGGACCTAGGGGGGCAAGAGGAGGGGAATATGATTGGTCACTCTAACCCTTTTGAGTTCACTGTTCATCAGCTTCAATGGAGGAAGTAGGAGTTTTAGTTACCATGGAGCCTATCGATTGTACCGCAGAGGGGACTGGTGTAGCCGACAGACTGGGTTGGGTCATGGCACTGCTGGGTGCAGGGTTAACTGTGGTGCTTGTCGTAGAAGCGGGGAGCGAAGAGGAGCGGGGCTTGTTGAGCGACAGGTCAACCGGTTCGGTCTGGTCCTCGGCGAGGCACGGCTGGGGCGAAGAGGGCTCCGTCTTGCAAACCGGAGGCTCCATCTTCACCTTCAGGTCTGTTGGTTGCGAGCAGTCATCACCAACATCTGCCTGCTATAGAGGAGAGGAAAGAGGAATTTAGAAAGCTGATTGTATTGAAAGCTGAAACTGATATTTTGTGTATTTTAATGACAAAACCAAATTACAAACATCAACTTGCACACAAAGAAATATATAGTTCAGGATAGAAAACCCCCTCAAAGCCATTCATTTCTACACTTTAAATAATAGCATATGACTGATTGGGAAACGGGTGTATCAGTTGAACTGATGTATTTAAAGTTAAATGAAGCATGCCAAAAGAACTGACACATGTTGCTTTATTGTTTGAAAACCCAACAGGATCCACACAATACACCAAAACAGAAATCATTTCATTACTTTTCTCCTGTGCAGTGACATTGAACTAGAGACATGTCGCCACAGCAGCAAAGGTACGTGTTTTAGAGCCATCAGCCACACCAAACTGATGTCTCAAAACACAGCAGGAACAATTAAAACTGATGTATAAAACTGATCCTATTATTAAATTGTCCATGACACTCCTGTGTTTCTCTATTGAGAAATATTGGAGATATCTATTAAAAGAAAACATTGAGAATTTCCAGTGTGGAACAATACTTCTGAAACCAGCTCAACCTTATACTGTTTATCTTTCAACACATTTTTCAATCCATTAAGACGGACTATGTTTGCTTTGAGGAGCTGCTTCATGCTGGATCGATGCTTTCATATAACTTGCATCAGGCTTTTTCATGCTACGCCCTAGTTTTCTCAGCCTCCTCAGAGGAACGCAGCACCCCATTCGCCTCTACAGCCACCCAGGGCTCAGCTGCTACGTAGCTCGAAAAGCACAGGGAACAATGGCTGCTGTGTGGGACACTGTGGGGGGAGGTGGGGGAGAAAGTGAGAGACCGAGAGAGAAGGGCTGGGCGGGTATAGAGAGAGACTGGTACTGACTATGAGAGAGAGAGTTAAAAAAAAAAAAGAAAAAGAGGAAAAGTGAAAGAGAGACAGGAGAAATGGAGTGAGAGAGGGAGCAGCAGTGAGCTTCCAGTCCAGGACTTGGCCTCCTTCCAGTTCAGATGAGCAGAGCTTGGCTCTGGGTGAGGAGGAGAGGGTGGAGTCTCCGCTACGCCCTCTTATCGGGTCACACAGTTCAGCTGGAGGCTGGGCTGAGTGATGATGGACGAAGGTGCAAATATGAAGGTCGGTAAACATCCTTCTGTAGTCAACTATCATTACATATGCAAATAATCTTGGTTACTAGTGCCTTACAGGTTGCTACATGTCACATTTAGTAGATGTAGAATGATTTCTGGCATTCCTGGCAACCCTTTTTTTCTTCTCTCCAAGAAGATTTGCAAAGAGTTTTGCTTGTAATTGGTAATCCTTCTCAGTGAACAACTTTTTCTTGTCAAAGTTTCACTATTCTGACTGGGATTTTCAAAACTCCAGAAACACCCTGAATTGTGTTTCTAATGTTGATCCTCCTTCTCTTCATGAATACAAACGGAACAAACTTGGCTGAGGTAAGAAGGAGTTAAAGGAGATCCTATCCTGGCGAATAAATAGGAAAGGAAACGAAAAGGGAAGGAAAAAGGGGATAAAGAAAGGAAAGAAAAGCCAGTGAGAGGAGATGAGGGAGGAAAGAGGAAGAAAAAGGGAGCAGTATGGCCATAATGTGATTATAGAGACAGCCCTCCCAAAAAAAAACAAAAAGAAGAAAAAACCTGAAGAAAAATGAAGTGTGAAAGAAGTGAGGAAGCGGATGAGGCAGAGAAGAGAGTGGGTGGGAAAGGCCTAGCGTTGCCATGGAAACTGGGAGCTATCAGCTGACTCTGTGTTTTCCACTCGTTCCCCACCCACCACCCAACTCCCTTCCCTTACCTTCCCCTCCCAGTCCGTTCGTCTTTCCATCACTTCAGCCCCCACCTCTCTCTCCCTCTCCCTCTCCCTCTCTCTCTCTCTCTCTCTCTCTCTCTCTCTCTCTCTCTCTCTCTCTCTCTCCGCCATGACCACACCTCTTTCACCTTTCTCTCCCACACCCCCACCTTTCCCTCTAGCATCTCTCGCTCATGACATCAACCACACCCTTGCTTATCCCCAACCTCAACCTCTCATCCCTCGCTGGCTTCACTTCCACCCACTCACTCTCGTATATTTCCATTCTCTTCTAGGGGGCTTTTTTTTCCTCCCCTCTCCTCTTTTCACGGTTGCTCAGATTAAACCCACAACTCTTTGCAAAATCCCCAAAAGAAGAGGATGAGAGGCTAAACTCCGCTAGAAAAAAAGAAAAGAAAAGAAAAACCTCGCTGGACTCCTGCAGGCTCTGTGATCTGTGATACAGAATTAGGGAGAAGAAATGAAGGAAGTAGGAAGGGGAGAAACTTTCTGATAGGAGGATTTTCATGTGGATTTTAAGGAGCAAAGTTAAGATTAACCAAAGTACATTTTGTGATTCGCTTTGGTCACAATACAATTGAGCCCTTTCTCTATCGCCAATAAAGAAACTGTGACATTTAAACAGTCACACGCTTCAGATTTTGATTTGTTTGCCCATCAGCACACATGAATTTGACACTGACACTGAGTAATTTAATCTAATACCTGCACACGCCTGCCATGTAAATCATCTTGCACACTAAAAATAAATCACTGGGTTGTTTTACCAAAACTAAAATATGGTCCATTTTCAGCCAGTGACACAACCAGCTTTACCTTAAAACTGTCACAAACGTATGTATGTTTGTTGCATATTCTACAGGTTGGAAATAAATGATCATTAATAACTGATCCATCTTTTTTTTTTATTTGTGGATAAACAATGTAATAACAACAGAATGAAAGCTAGCAGGTTAAATGATCCGCCATCTTGCTACTACTGTTTACTTCCGTTGTGCAACACCTTCCTTTGATGATACATACATTCCTGATTACATTATGGTTCAGCTCAAACTGCTGGAAACACACCAAGGTTGCAAGAATCCTGAATAGCACCGGTTTAAGAACCAGCTAAGTTAGTATAAAGATAATCTCTGTTTCCACACAAAAGCAAGAAATTGAAGTACACTTGAAACCCTAACCTGAAGTTTATGACTCAGACAACAGCAAAGGGCTGTCTAACTGTCTCTGAAATAATCACAACAATCCGCAAGGGCTGGAACACAATTCAGCCCTTTAAACGACAAACTTAACATGTCTGAACGCAACATGAAGAAACCCTGGCTGAGCTAGACTTGGAGCTCGCCGGAGTATTCCCTTTCTCCCCCTTCCTGCACTTCTCAGTTCAACTGCTCTACCATAAAATGGGTCATCCAGTCTTCGCCTTGCAGTTAATTCATGTGATCTCTAACTTGAATGGAAGCGGGTAGCAGCTGTGACTGCAGTGGTGAGAAAGCCAGGCAGAGAGAAAGACATAATCTGTCCAGAGGAGTTTAATCGTCTTGTACTCACACTGGGTCTCATACAGATAAAGTAATGAGTGATTTATGAAGTAACAGCTCTCCTATCAGTAACCTCATGTGCCCACAGAAGGCCATGGTTATGTATAGTTACAGCACAATATCCAGAGCATGTGAGGGGCAGCTTTTAGATTTTATCATTCCGGTTTTCTCCCAATTTGGTCTTATCGGCAGCCAGGGAGTAACCCAGGTCACTGCGTCACCGAGCGCGCCTGCGTGTTTTGGTTATGTGATGGTGTCGGTTTAACAAAGGGTTAAAGGGGTATCGTTTAATATGGCAGCACTGAAGGACCAATCAACACACCTTTGTCAGCAGCCACATTCACTTATTTATGACAGGTTATACAAATGGTGTCCTGTACCAAAGTCCCATTAAGAAATTACATTTGAATAATACACATTTTCAGTACAGTAGTAGTAGCATTACAATCTGCTCCCTAACATGCCAAAAAAAAAAACCTTTTTTTAAGGCGGCTGATATCAAAGGCATGCAGGCCTCGGTAAGTGGAAGAAAAGTTTGACCAATTTTTACACAATGTTGCATAAAGTTTTCCAGTCTGCCTAAATATGAAACAGAAATGATAATACGCATGTCAGGACTTGGATCGATGGATGAAGATAACATTCTGTTTAACAAAGTTAGTCACAGTTGTCTCTTATCCGTCGCAGGGCATTTTCCACAAACTGTTGATACAATAGATTACTTATTACTTCAGCAGTACAAACCACAGCAACTAAGTTCAGTTTCAGTAGTTCTGCCTAACAAAAAGTTCCTCCTCCTGAGGTAGGGACTTCCTAATGGCCCAGGAACTATTAACTCAAGTCTGCAGTGCTGAATATCAAAGCTGGCAAACACAAGCTTTGCTGCCACACCATTGCGAGTATCAATATTAGGAGTAGAAGGATGTCATTTCTTTTTTTAAATAGTGATGTGACTGGAGAGTGCATTTGAATATTTTATTCGCTAAATAAATGTAGTTATGCACGAAAGCTGGAAAATAACAAAAAAAAACTCTTTTAACATTTGCATTTCTCATTTCCAACATTAATTTAAAAATCACACAGTGACGCAAATGCCTAAAAACAACAGAATGACAATGTGTTTCTGTTTCTCAACTTGGACAAACACCTGCAAATTATCAGTCTAATATTCCAAATCATAACGGTTCTTCAGATACCATGGAAATGCAAACAGGTTCCTGCCTATCTGGAGCAAAACTGCCAAAAGTTAGTGCCCAGATGGTGACAAAGGGGACCAACTACAGACCTGGTAACACTACCCTTGCTGTGCCTACCAAGCCTTGGTGGAATATGATCTTGTGCGGTAAAAAGAAAAAAACTCACCACAGTACCACCACCAACAGTACCCACAGAAACAGGATGGTAGACATTGAGTAAAAACTTAATTCCACTGAGGCCTAATAGGCTTTCAGTCTTTGACACTGTTGTTGTTTTTTTCTGCAGAAAGAAATCAATAGGTCCTGAGGTGAGACAAACAATACTGTGACTGTTGGTATATGTTAAAGGTGAAGAGAGGACGGCAGAAGAGAGGGAAGGTAAAGAGAAAAGAAGGATGAGAGATGGAAG